GTACACTTTTATTATTATTATTATTATTATTATTATTATTTTTGCTATTTTAATCTTTTGAAGTCACTCAAACTTTTTATGAAATTTAAAATTGAATAAGTTGCACATAATCCCATCCCAAAGTTAGGTAGATATGGGTTGAAAAATGAAGGTTCTATCATTAGACGAGGCTCAAAGTGTTTTGCCAAAAAAGGATTTCATATTTGAAGGGTGAAAGGTGATATGATGTGGCTACAAGGGGTGCCTGAAATCATTGGTATACTTTGTGCTTAGTTCGACAATTTTTATTTTTTTTTTTTTTTGCAATGTAATGAAATGATCATATGCAAGAAAATAAATGCTCATGTTATTAAAGGAAAATAAATAATGATCCTACAAAATAAATCTAAGGAGAATAAAAAGGTGTTTACGCTAGACGTATTAGGGAAGGGATAAATAAAATAAAAAATAGGAGGTCACGAAATCTTGTAGTTGAAGCTCGCCTCTTGTCTTGTGTCGTTTGTTTTATCATTACTCACTCTTCTTGCTAGCTGGGGGCATGGAAGCTTGTAATTATCGATCAAATGTTGGATAGCCTCATTTAGCTTCCAATAGCTCTCAGTAGTATGGCCCCTACCTTGATGATATTTGCAATGTGCATCCGGATTCCAACTAGGCAATCTCTTTTCAGGTGCGGGATCTTGAATAGGTCCAATGGGAGTTATGAGAACTTTAGCATGAAGTCGATCGAAGGCAGTACCGTAGCTCATGCCAATGGGGGTGAAGTCTTTCCTCAGTTGCTTCTTAGATCCTTGGTTATCCATGGCTAAAACTTCACTGAGATCAAAGGTACTAACATTGTTATTAGAGTGGGCGTTTTCGGAAGAAGAAGGATTGTCGTTCTTCTTTCCTTTCCAGCCACTATGATTACTATTGTTAGTAGCTTTTTGCTTTGCGAGGTCATCTTCGATCTCGATGCCTATGTCATAGACGGCTTTGAAAGTATTTAAGTTGTGTTGATATTTTAAGTGCTTTGAATACTTTTCTTGTAAATTTTTTATGAACATCCTCACAGATTCCTTTTCGCTTGGTACTTCAATCATCCTAGCAGAGGTTTCTCTCCATTTATTGAAGAAAGAAGTGAAACCTTCATTCTCCTTCTGCTTAAGTATTTCAAGTTCTCTATAATCAGTTTTAACTTGAATATTGCACTTATACCTATCAATGAAAGCGTTTACTATTGATTCCCAAGTGGAGGTCTTCTCTTTGTCAAGGGAAAAGAACCATTGTTGGCAAACGGTTCCAAGAGATAAGGAGAATAAAGAAGGAAATAATTTTTTATCAATACCCTTAATACTCATTATTGTTTCAAAAGATCTTAGATAAAAATAAGGGTTGTCAGTTACCTTGAATTTTGGGATGTCGTTGGCATTGAACTTCTGCGGAAGAAGATCCTTGTCCACCGAGACCCCTTGTGAACTAATGCCCTGAAACTTGTAGTCACTAAACAGCTTGCTCAAGTTTTCTTGCATAAGATCCATTTGTTGTTGCTTCACAGGATCATTGATTTTGAGGGTTAAAGCCTTCAACACCTCAGTTACATTAGTGTAGGCATCGTTCATAGTGTGCCTACGTTAAAGCATGTGTGAATATGCTTGGCACTCATAGGAAGTGGGAATTGACATGTACGATTAGGGACAAAGCAAAGTAGGGAGCCGCCAACAAGTTTTTAAGGAACTTGTAAACCGTTCACGGATCATAAAAGGAAACCACGATTAAGGGACAACGATAGGCAAAAACGATTGACCTGTGAAGGTTACACCCCATTCATAATCCATGAGATTACTAGCTCCATATGGTTCGGAACCACAAAGGGAGGATCGGGGATGATGGCACGAAGTGAGTCATGGAGTCACATTCGCCCGTATTGGCATTTACTCGATTCTTATAGTGAAAAGTGATTCTTGCGATCTCAAAGGCATGCAAACAAAGATTAAATTTGCTCCAAAATATTACTAAGCTAAATTGGTTGAATATTAATGCAACATATAATTCTAAAATATTAGTGATCACTTGATTAAACAATAAGATTAAAAAGGAACCTAAACCGGTTGTCCAAATTATCTTATTAGGTGCGATTTTCAATTACATATTCCCTTTAAACATGCAATATGGTGATCAATAAATATAATAAAATAAACATTAATATTGGTAGTAATTTAATCATACTATCGTTAGTTAAATCAAATCATAAATTAACCTAATCATGATACTAGCAACAAGAATAAAAATAAGAGTAATTAAGTGATTAATTACTCACTTTCCGCATTTCCTTGAATTGCTACATCATGAATAAACTGTTAGTAACTTCAATAAAAATATAAATCAAATGGAAATTAAATTAAATAAAAATTAGATTTGATTTGATCCAAACCCTCAGTTATTTATACCTTTCATGCCTTGGTTTAAGTATAGAACTTTGGGTATTGTATGAACTCCTTGGAGCGCTAAGGAAGGAATGATGTAATTAAGGATATAGGTTTAAGGCTTGGACTATGAGAGAGAGAGAGAAGAGAATGATTTTTGGTATAAAAGAGAGGAAGAGAGAATGATGTGATGATCAAGATTGTTGATGATTGAAAAAGGGGAGATATGACCTCTATTTATAGAGAAAAAAGAAGGGTCGAAGAAAACAAGATAAGATCCGAATTAAATCGGAATAAAACTCGATTGACTGCAGTTTTTGCGGTTTTGTTTTTATCATATCTTTTGATCCAGAAATTGGAATAAGATAAATAATATATCTTTGGAAAGCTATTGAAATACTTTCTAACCCAATTAAAATCAGATTAAAATAATTTGTAGAATAAAATATATGGCCGAAATAGTGAAACAGTGTCAGTTTTGGATAGAGTTTGACATTTTATTCATATCTTTTCCGTTATAGCTAGGAATTGATATTATAATATATCATTGGAAAGATAATTTCAAGGGATATCCAACCATATAAAATTTGGATAAAAACTTAGGGGAACAAAAATAGTATTTGACTATCTTTGAACGTCTTTCAATTCGAATAGAAATAGGACTTTCAAAAAGAAAAGTTTTATTCAATTTCAAACTTTTTAATCTTATCTTTTCAAAAAGGATAATTAAGATATTTTAGAAACTTATAGAAGTTTCCAATTAATCGTAATTGGTTTAGGAATGAGATTAAATAATTTGGACCCTCCACATGATCATTGGGTCGTAGGTAAGGTGGGCTTATGTTCGGTTTGGGCTTAATTTAATATTTTGGCCATAACTTATTCGTTATAACTCGGATTCAGGCTTATAGTATATCGTTGGAAAGATCTTTTAAATCCCCATCCAACTATTTAATCATTGAACCCAGATAATGGACCAAAATAAATTGGACTAAACGTGTTTATTAAAAAGACACGAAATGAATGATTTTAAAGGACACGAAATTTTGGGTTTAAAGGCACGAAAAGAGGAAAATAAGTTATGGTTTGGGAAAATGGGATAGGAATTGGGTTCGTTTATGAAATGGAAATATTGATTTAAGCACTTCAAGATTAAATACTCAACCCGACCAATAATGGCGGTGAAAGGTTGTTCATCATCGGGTTTGGTTTTGGGGAGACATTTTTAGGTGTCTACAGTTACTCAATTGATTCCTAAGTTCATTGACTTATTCTTGACTTTCCATTATCTTATTAGCTTTTCTTTTTCAACTAACCGGTTTATCAAAAAGTTGAACTTGAATAAAGATGTTGTCTTTGATTAATCGCCCTTCTCTCCTTGACCAAGGGTTGTGGAAAGGGAAATTAGGGATATCGACTGTTAATTATTTGACTCAAAATCTATTCAACATGCAATAGATGAAAGAAGGTAGGAAGAATGAAGGTTGTGATATGGAGAAAGTATGTAGATAATGGAAAGATGATGTAGACAGAGAGATATGACAAAATTAGGAATAAAATGTACCCTCAACTCAAATGACGGAAAAAACTGACTCATGCATGAACCTAAGACATGGTCATGGTGACATGTATAAGGTGTGTGCTATATATTGTGACTTCAAGTGACATGTTAAAACTTGTGTCATGACCATGTGACTAGACTATGTGACTAGACTCGAACAAAGACTAAGTTAAGAGCTCACGTATATGCATTAAACTGGACAGGTTGTGGTATTTTAGTCATAACATTTGATATGTGACTCTGATTTTGATGAAACCAACGCCAAATTAAAGTTAAAACTTGGGGCTACAGATCCAAAGGTTGTAAGACTCGTAACTCTTCCTAGATATCCGGCTATGACCAAAACAAGTTGACGTTTGTGCAGTATACGGGAATAAAAATCCGAGTTGACTCAAAGGGACTATGACTCGATTTTAAGTCTATTTTTTAGTTCAAATTAATTAATTAAGAAAATTCCTTTAGTCCTTCATTAGTTTATTTAGACTTAAACACAAGTCAACAAACGATTGGAAAAAACACATAGAGTATGCACAACAAATAATGCACAATTAGTCAAGTAGGCACAATATGATGTAATGAGTTCGCAACCTAACCACGGCTCTAATCCTCTAAAGTTCGGGATATGGGTTGTCAAAGAGGGTCCATGGTTAATTTTCCGGATGCACCGCTAGAAAGCCTTACCTTTTGAAGGGTTGGCGCAAGTGGATGGGACACCGCAAGTTAAAAACTCGCTTCCATGGTTTGGTGAATTCAACATTCTCGGATGTACCCTTTGTTGCACAAAGCGTTCAATCAGGTAGATGGAGCATGAATTCCCAGAGGGTTATGTCCATATTTAGAACACATATGGGTTTAAGAGAAGTGAGAAAAACTTAATCAGGAATTAGAATCGAGCAAACAGTGCTAAAAACTGGTCAAAGTCACTACTACAAATCCCGTGATTTCTGGACGCTTTACTCTCGATGCTGGCCTCTTAGCGTCAACATGAAATTGTAAACTCCATGTTTAGTCGATGCATTTTCTAGTCTAGAAATTTGTGGACAATGAAAGGCGTCGAGGATTCTACATTCTTTGCACGTGACCATAATTTTCAGCCCACTCAAAACTTAACCGCCCTTCTACACAAAATAATAAACCCTGTAAACTCTCTGATTCTTTCACAACGAACCCTAATTCGCCGCCAACCCTTCTGCAATCTTCACATTTCATCTCTAAAGACTTTGAGATTCAGTGAATTCGGCTAGAAAACTGTGAAAATCGCATCTCTTCGTCAATATCGCCAACTCAATTCATGTTGTAGTAACATCCTTGCTGTTGTTATCGATTGATTTTGCTAGTTTTTTGCTTATATCTCACTGAAATTTGTTTTATTTATCTTGATATGTGGTTTCTTTTTGTTCAATTGAATCTAAATTTGTTTTAATGTTGTGTTTTTCTACCGATTGTTTTTGGTTCTTTGGGGATTTATCGGTTGAAATTGTGTTACAATGGGACAGATAAGTTTTCAATATGAAGCTTCTATGATGCTCCAATATCGTCTAATTATAAGAGGTATTGAATTGTTTCCCCTCTCAAGTTTACATTTTTAGGATTTTTAAAAGTAATTTATCTTAAGTTCAAGTTTTTCCAGATCTTGTTGTTGAAGTTGTTCTAGGTTCAATTTTTTTTCCTCTCATTTTCAATTCTTTGTGTTATAGATAATCCGATTTTTGCATTTGTACTTCAATTCGTACAATTAAAAAAATTCCCAATTTTTGTTTTGTACTAACAGCTTCAGTCTCCTCCGATCAACCTCTTGCACATCGCACAACTTCCGACGCTGCTTGCTACAATATCTTGGAGTTATTAATTAAGATATATTGAGTCAAATTTATCATTTTAGTTATCTCATAATTGTTCTGATAGTATGATCCTTTGTTTTCGTATTCTTTGTAACTTAACTAGTAACAGAGATATTCCCTCTTCTTTCTTGATTTGTTGAGTGTTATTATCTCTGAAATTGTGTAGATTAGGCTTGAATTTCCTGGGATTTAACTAATCAGGTGGCTGTTAGTTTAATCTTGTGAAGCTGGGGTGAAGAAAGCTTGGGGTGGGTAAGGTGTGATTGATATAGTGGGAAAGTTGAGTTCTTTGGGAAGCAAGTTAATGGACTTGGGGCTCCAAATTGAACAAGCAGAAACAACGACTCTCGAAAAAAATAAGGTGGAATTTAAATATTGTATCATTTTACATGATTATTTAGAGTCTTAGAGATATATTGATGCATTATTTTTCCGGTTTGTCTTAGCAATTAACTTGCATGAAAACTGCTGTTTATGGTTGAAATGCACTGTAATTGTTCCGACGTTAATATAATTCTATTAAGCTTTATTTAAACTAGAAACTGCAGAAACACCATGTAGATGATTGCCCTCTTTCTAGTTTTAATTTTCGCAAAAATGCAAAGCTCCACTATGAAACAAATGGCCTACATGTATCATGGAAATTAGCAGTGAACTTGTAGATTTTATTTTGCTGTATAGTGCATGCATTCTTCAAGTGAGGTTTAATTGCAGCAAATTAGAAAGATTGATACTGATGATGACATTTCGTCATGCAATATTTTAAGTTGGGTTTAGCTTGTAATATTGTTCATTAAGGTAGTGATAGAAAGTTTGTTTTTTTAATTTTTTTTTACTGTATATTCACTTTATGTTACAATCCTTGAAGCTCGATTTGTTGTATGGGCATCGCTTTCACCCTAGAAAGCTACTATTGTGTAGAAATAAGAAATTAGGGGTGGGATTAATAGTGCATTGTTATTTTATACAACAAAATGATGACATGAGTTAAATGTGAAATGTAAAATGTAAAACGTTACTTCGTAGTATATTGAGCTGAGGAGTTGTAGATTATCATGATCCCTTGCTTGATCTTTGTTTGAAATGCTTGATTTCTCATACATTAGAAATGACTAGGTATCTTTGTAAACTATCTCCCTAGTTAGAAATTTGATGTCACTCGTAATTTAGATTATAAATGGTTAAATATCTCAATGGTATTATTAGGTAGTGAACTAAGTTTCTTACTCAGGCTGACTTTATGAACAATGCACCCAATGTTCAGCACCCAATGCGATAGGATGCATTTGGGCTGCCAATAGAGCAGCATGCTATTGATGTATGTTTGTATTTTTATTTATTTTAAATCCTAGGACATGGCTTTATCACATTTTTGTTTACAGTTTCTTTTTGTCACAAACTATGGCCATCAGGTTGAATGTTTTGTGATAATAATTAGGTGATAAATATATTGTTTTGTGTGAAAAGTTTGATCTTTGATATGAGAACCCGCCGTAAAAAAAAAACAAAAAAAAAAGTTTACAGTACCTTTTTGTGTGTAAAGTTTGTCTTTGATATGAGAGCCTTGTTTAAGTATTTTTATTTTTATTTTTATTTTTAGTTTTTGCAAAATGAGAGTCCAGAGAGATAGTTTCTTCATCTGAAATCAGTCCACAAATAAAGGAACAATATTTCATCCCTCGTTTGGAAAAGGCTTTAAGTATCAATTTGTAATTTGTTGTGTATTGAGTTTAGATAAATAGGCTTAATCATTCTAATGGGATAGAGCAGTTATATTTTGATTCGCTTCCACAAGATCGAGGTGAATAGTTTGGTGGAATTTGATTGTATTTGACTGATATTCAATTTTCTGAATAAGAAGAGTTCTTGATATTGATATTTTTGTTATTTGCAGATGAATTATTTCAGATTTAGTGTTAGATTCTAAAATACTCAGCTTCATTATTTTGGTTGTATTAATTTGCATTTACTGTTCAAATATTGCTTTCGTTATAACTATGCTGCTTGTTTGGAGTGCTTGCTTGTTCCAATTGTTTTCGCTCCCTATGTTCCGATTATTGTGAACTGTTATTAATTTTTGGTAGTGTTTTGCTTTTGTTTTTGTTTAGCCATGCCATGAGTATTACAGCTTGAGGACGACACTGTTACTGTTACATGAACTCCAAGATTTTCCTAACTGAGAGACTGGCTTCTTACATAGAATTGTAGGCTGAAAACTCTACTTTGCTGAAGAGCTATGGTAAATTGCATTTCTTGGACATAAGATTGATCTTTGTGGTGTTTAATTTTGAGCTTTACATTTTTGTGAAACAGATTCTAGTTCAACTAGAATTTTTCATCAATATTGTTGCTGTTTCAGGATGTTGTGAAACAGCTTTACATTTTTGTGAAAGAGCTTTACATTTTTCATTGATATTGTTGCTGTTGCAGGATTTTTTCATCGCTATTGTGAAATAACTTTACATTTTTGTGGTGTTTAAGATTGATGTTGTTACAGGATGCTGATCAAGCTCCATCTAGCGTTGTTGCTCCATAATATTGTTGCTAATGTTGTTAGCCCATGATGATGAGGATCTACAAACATCAAAGGGTGTTCTGTGAATTCAAGGCCAACAATGATTCGAAACAATATGAACTTTGCTTTACGCTCCTTGCAAGAAGATTAAGGAGCAGCTACTTGGAGATCGATTGATTGAAGTTTTTTTTTTTTTTTTTTTTTTTTTTTTTTTTTTTTTTTTTTTGAAGAAATGAGCAGATTTATTCCACTAGCTAGTACTAGTCATGAGTGAAGTGTAGGTTGGAATTATATTTCTTGTACTACCTAATAGCAAACTCATTACAATGAGATATTGTCCATGTACTATAACATATTTATATGCAATAACAAAATTGGCTTAATTTTGTTGTGTATATATTGGTAATACTAGTATATACCAGTAAATTTTTTGTGTGAAATAATTTTTTTGGTAATTATATTCTAGATATTTTTGTAAAGAATCTGGACAAAAAAAAAAGTCACAAACAATGAGAATATAGACAGAAATAAGCGTCGCAAAAATATAAAAAATCTAATATATGAGACTATAGACACAATAAAGCGTCGCCAAATTTGAGGTTTCAGACACCAAAAAGCGTCGATAAACTTGAGAAAGTGCGCCAAAACTGCAAATTTTGACGCTTCGTATAAAAATTTGGACGTCTTATAGCGTCGAGATTTGCGACGCTTTTTTGTGATGTCTAATTTTCTCGACTCACATATTTTCGACGCTTTTTTGAAGTGTCGAGAAATATATTTTCGACGTTTTTTAGCGTCGAAAAATAGCTTGAAAAGCGTCTACAAAGGACGAATTTTCTAGTAGTGAGTTAGAACGCATATTTCTGGCTCGGTATTGGAAGAACTTGGCGCCAGCGAACAGAGGCCGTCGCCGCAATTTGGTTTTGTCGCCTGGCGACAGAGTCAAATCATTGGCGACAGACTCTGTTTTCTGACGCCAGTTCCTACATGCCTAAGCAGCTTTCTCTGCTTGATAAAATTTTCCAGTTTTGCACGGCATTATTTCAATCCTAGTTGTGAAAGATATTCCTCAAATTTCCTACGTGTAAAAATCCTATGTTTTTAACTCATTACGGATGGTCTTTCCAATGAGATCTTTTTTATGCATATGACAATAATGTTAATCAAAATTACGCACATGAAATACTTAGAACTTTTTGAGTCTCATCCACTCATTCTAAATCATTGCCGAAATAAATTTCAGGAATCAAAATAGAAGTCCTCCCCAGCGGAGTCGCCAAAACCTGTAGGGAATATTTCAAGCATTACCCTAAACTTGAACCCCACTGTGATCATACACTTAAGCATGGTGGCATCCATATGTAAGGAAGATAGAGCAAAAGAGTCGCCAACAAGTTTTAAGAACTTGTAAACTGTTCATAGGGTGAAGGTTATACCTCTTAACGATCCAGGAGATCGTTAACCCCAATAGGTTTGGAACCAAGACTGGAAGTTCGGGGATAAAGGTACAAATCTAACCTAAAAGAGATTGAACCTGCCCTAATAATAGGCCTCTACTTTATTCTAATCGTTTTCATGTGCGCTTTCTGACTAACATGCAATCAATAGGTTAACCCTAAACTTGTTTATCTATGTTGGTTGAATATTAATGCACAAATAAATCTATTATTGGCGATCACTTGAATTATAATCATATTAACCCTAAACAAGATTTTTAATTATCTTATTAAGCGTGATTACAAGTACCAATTCCCTTTAAACATGCATAAAAGGCGTGATCAAGCAATAACAATAATATATTTCAAGCAACATTTATAATCATTATAACAATCATAATCATGTTAAAGCATAATAATAGCAAGATCCTAGGCATGACACTAACAAGATTAATAACAAACCCTAGCATGTCACTAAACAATAAAGATCAAAGCTTTAGCCCTAACATGATACTAATATGATATTAGAATGAAAATAGAAAGCATCGCAGAAATCACAATTGTCATATTTGATATTAGAAATTATAGTTATTACCCTAAATATGATACTAGGAAGCAATAATAACAACCTTACATGATTTCTATATCATAATATTAATAAATCAATTAAAACACTTACTTGGATGCCTCGTATCTCTTTCTAATAATAAAATACACGCGTTAGTAACTTCAAGGAAAATATAAACAAACAACTGAATTAAACTAAATAATTGGAATAGAGATTTGGGACCAAACCCTCAGAAATTAAAACCTTTCACGTCTAGGGCAAAGACAACTTCGAACTTGGCTAGTTGTTTCTAGATCTTGTGAATGTGGAATTTTGTGTGCAAAAAGCTAGTTTAGAAAAAAGAGAGAGAGAGAGTAATTAAGAGATTCTTGATGAGAGTTGGTGATGGAAAACAGAGGTTTAAGGAGACTATTTATAGAGAAAATCAGCCAGATGTGATAAAAAACGAATCAGAGTTTTGAAAAGAATAAAACACGACCGCAGCGCCAAACACGCGCCTGTCGCCAAACGCTGTAGTGCGGCGCCAAACGCCAGGTCTGTCGCCATACGCTGGGTCCGTCGCCAGATTCTGGTCCTGTCGCCAGACGCTGCAATCAGTTTTCCTTGCGTTTTCTTATTTTGATAAAATTTATCCGTACAAGAGGCAAAATCGTATTTTCCTTAAAAAACACTTCTTTTATTCTGATTAAAAACTCATAAAAGTCAACTAATGTCAATTTATCAATGCTAATTAAATTAGGAATGAAAAGAACCTTCTAGAAGATTCTAGAAGACTATAATCAATTCTAATCGCATTAGGAATGATAAATCAATATTAGGCCCTCATCTAGATCATTGGGCCGCATATAAAGATCAAACTGGGGCCAGTTTAGTAATTTGGCCATAACTTCCTCATTATTCATCGGAATTGGGCTTATAATATATTGTAGGAAAGCTCTTTTCGAACCCGACCCAACTACACTATTATTGGACCCTTGCCATGGACCAAAACAAACTGGATTGGCTGTTTTCCTAAAATAGGTTTTCAAAAACAGAGCGAAAGTAAATAAATAAAAATAACCGTAACACTAGACCTTCCACACTTTCACTTCATTCGATTATGATTCAACATGAAAGGTACTCATCACTGGTTTTGGTTTTGGGGAGACACAAATGGGTGTCTACAGGTCCCCACCTAAGCCTAGGCGCCTTCTAGGAGAAAGCCTAAGATCCGGCCTCATCAGATCCTCCTCCATCTCAACTAGCTCAGAGTCTCCATTCGAGAACTCCTCTTCTCCGGTGTGATATTGCTCACTCTCGTCACTCTCTTGAGAAGGTTGAGGGTCATCATATGGGTGACCATCGTTGAACCCCATATTCTCCTATAGTACTCTCCAATACAAAAGAGAATCTTCTGGGATATCAAAATGGCGAATATCAACCCTAGTATTCCTAAACCTATACCAGTCCGGTAAGCCATGAATGTAGTTAGAGTAAAAGGGGTATTTGGCAGGCCCATACAATACCCTTACACCGTCAGCTTTCACCTCATCCAGCCTGTGCCGAAACCGCCTCCTTGCTACCGCGTCATGGAGGGTACAATGAGCCGTAGAATGACCAACCTGCCCACAAGATTTGCAAAATTTAAAAATGCCTTCATACCTCAAGTATACCCCTATCACTTTATTGCCTTACAAAGGTATAAAGCACCTAGAAATTAATGGCATACAGATATCTATCAGCATCGAGCCCTCAGTTCAGCTTGCATTGGGAGCTCATTTCCCTCATGGTCGAGCTCCTCAATGAAACCTACGTGTCTCAGGATCAGCCTTGCCCAGCTTGACGTCAGATACTCTAGGGGCAGACCATATACTCAAAACCAGACTCTCGTGAGTGAGAAACTGATATGGTGTGGCACATAATCAACTTGGTAATGTCTGAAATTAATCACCCTACCATCGATAATAACAGTGTTAGCACGTATAATACCCTCCTGGTTTTATTTAGCACTACACTCAAAAAGAAAAAAAGTACTAGATCTATACACCCTTATATCCCCCCTCATTATCCAACGAGAAGAGACAATATATTGAACAAAATGTTCTGAAGGGGGGCGTGGCCCTATGAAGAGACCGATAACACACAAATTAAAATCAATAGTAACATTTTCAATAAAGAAATCCTGCGGGGTAGGGATCAAAGGTCCCCCCCCTCAGATCTAGATTTTGCTCATTATGAGCATTAGGAAAGTTCCTATGATTACACATAGTTTGAAGCAGAGGGAATAAAGAATAAAGGACAAGGGAAATAATGAAAGAAAGAGGAAATAAGTTGGCAGAAATAGAAAAAGAAGAGGAAAGGACAAGAGAGGATAAGAGAAGTTAAGATGAGAATGAGTTCATATGTAAAATGCTTAGCATTTGTAGCCAAACTCAAGTCCTTGAGGACATAGATCACTCACGCATGGGGAGAAAGCTCCAGAACCATTAATACACTAAAAACCAGTAGCCGACTCTAGCTATAAGATCCCTGCACCAGTAGAATATCAGCATTTACTGCTCGAATTTTATTGGGAGGGAAAACCAAAGATGGGTGCTCAAAATATTGGGAGATGAAAAAAGCTGATAAAAGGTTAATGCTTTTTGTGGGAAACGAGGAGGATAAACAAAAACCAAAGTAAATATTTTGGGTAAAGGGAAAGTAGGATAGGAAAACCACTCAAGCAAGAAACCCTCCAACTTCCTTCCCACCTAGAGGCTATGAAGAGGAGTAGGGAATATTTGAGCAAGCAAGAACTCCTTGAAGGAGGAAAGATTAACCTTGGCAGCAGCTAGCAAAGATTCACTTCTAGTGAGAGACGAATTTTAGAGATAGAAAGTCTAACTTAACTATAGATCTTGAATCATGTTGTCTTGATTATTAAGCTAATCTTAGTTCGAATCATTTTAGTTTTGGGATGAAGAATACGAGAGCTTCAAACTTTATTAATGTTTCAATTTTGAAATTGTCGATAAAGTTATATATCCCTCTATTTTGTAATAATTGTCACATTTTCCTTTTAGATTTGCTTATACAATTTTAATATGTCCTTATATTTTACTATATTTTACTATTACCAACCCTATTTACACATAATGACTTACATTTGATTCAACAGCTTTGTCAAATGCGTTTGACTTTCATTTGATTCAATTAACTTTGCTTGAATGTGTTTGACTTTCATTTGATTCAGTTTGCTTTATTGTATATTTTTGACTTTCATTTGACTCAATTTGCTTTGTTGAATACATTATTTGACTTTCATTTGACTAAATAAGCTTTTTTTTTTTAATGTGTTGGATCGACTTTCATTTGATTCAATAAGCTTTGTTTAATGCATTTGCATTCATTAATTGATTCA